AAAATTAAAGTATTCAAAATAAAGCCCGAGAATCATTTTTCTTTTCCAAAGAAACTGTTACTGTAGGCTCAATATGCTGGGTAATGTAGCAATTCATCACCTGATCTACAGAATAAATGATTCATTTATATTGAACTTTAGCCGGCAAGAGGAGACATTCATTAGTGTAGTATCATTATCGTAGGTTCCTACAACTGTAGCAGATAGGAATTGTCACTGAGTCACAGGTTGTCAATTCAGCCAGCTGTATATGAGTTCTTCAAGCAGGACAACAGGCAAATCCTCAGATCACTAGCCACTGGCCACCATCAGGAGACAAGATAAAGCATGTGACAGAGCACTTAAAACCCACATGTAAAGTCTGCAAGGTGGCACACACTACAAGCCAATAGTCTAGGGGCAGAGGCAAGAAGATATGTTCTAGCCCAGCCTGGGCAACTAGCAACCTAGCAAGATCTCTTCTCAAAAAAAGAAAACAAAAAAACCCAACAACAACAACGGGCTGGGCATGGTGGCACAGGCCTGTGATCTCAGCACTTGGGAGGTAGAAGATTGCTATGAGTTGAAGGCCACCCTTGGGTATATGGTGAGTTCAAGACCAGTCTTAACAACATAGTGAGACCCTGTCTCAAAAATAAAAAAGGACTTGGGGTATAGCTCATGCAAGGGCCCTGGGTTCAATGCCCAGTAAGAAGGGGTAGGGTGAGGTGACAAATGTTACAGCGCCTCTGAATTAATGGACCCCACCCTCTTTTTTTTTTTTTAAATTACATAGGTTCTTGTAACTTGCTAAGTTATCCAGGCTGGACTTGAACTTGTGATCCTCCTTCCTCGGCCTCCCAAGCTGCTAGAATTACAAGCAAACACCACCAGGACCAGGTTCTCCTCCCCACTCATTCCCTCTGAAAAACTGCATGCTATAGGGGGAAGAAAAATGTCATTCCCTGGCAAATGAAAAATACCCTAGGCCTTTTCTGTAGAATTTTCTAACCCTGGTTGTGAGGAGTCTGAAAAAGATAACTAGTCAAGAATGGTTGATTCTAAGGTTTTTTTCCTCTGAATGTGGCACAGCACTTTTGCTAGTAAAGGGTTCGTTGTGAAGATCGGCAATGAAAGAATGCTGAGATTATGAAACAGTTGCCATCAGTCCTAACTCAGTACAAGAGTTGATCATTACTATCACTCAGTCAAAATAGCTAATCAACAACTGCTCCTGGAAACTGTGGATTTAGGGATAAAGTATAAAGTAAGAATGATGTTATTATTCAAAGAAAACATAGCCAATGAGTTGGAATGCAATGTCAAATGCTACACTGTTTCATTTTCCTTTAGCCTACTTTGTATGCAAATGGACCTCAGCTAATAAAATACTCAGGTATACTCGCCGGTTGTTTCTTCAGATCCTTTCTGTTTTCCTTCCTTCCTTGCCTCCTTCCTTTCTTCTTTATTTTTGTGGTACTGAGGATTGAATCCAGGGCCTCGTGCCTGCTAAATAAGCATTCTACCACTGAGCTACATCCCTGGCTTTTTAAATTTTTGCTTTGCGACAGTCACATTAAGTTGCCCACGCTGTCATTGAACTCAAGAGCCTCCTGCCACTGACCCCCAAAGTAGGTGGATTTCCAGAGTGCATGCTGCATCTGACTCTTTGATTTAATTACAGTGAACACTATTCCCAAATTGGTTTTTACCTATAAAATTATGGATGAGTTGCAGTGTGTATTAGTTTATTAGGGATGTCATAACAAAATACCACATACTAGGTTGCTTAAATAACAGAACTTTATTTTCCCAGCGTTCGTACTATCTCTTTTTAGAAAACCACTTGCTCAACCTGTTAGTCATGGGATTTTATGATCTTTGGAACATTTAGTTAGCCCCCATCTTAGTCTCCTAACTCACTAGGCTGTGGTGCTGCAATAGGAAGGAGCTGGAACCTGGGATGGAAGAGCCTTGTGGGAGCTCCTCCAACTCCTGGGAGCAGGCCCAAGAAAGGAATATTGAGACACAGCCGCTCCTCTTCCTTTTCACGTCCCAGCCATGAGGCAGGTGTTTTTGCCCCCTTCTGACGACATGGTCCCTTACCACAGGTCCAAAAGCACTGGAAATAGCAATGATAGACTGATACCTCCAAAAGTTTGAGCCAAAATAAACTTACTTAATATCTCAGGTTTGTTTGTTTTTTACAGTAACAGCATGTTTGCGTATCACAGGATAGGGCCTCAGATTGCAACACAGGTGCTACACAATGTACTGTCTTCCCTAGAAGGGGTCAATATGCAGCCTGTGAGAAAAGGAGCGGTTAGACACATACAAAGCTGTAAGAGCTGAGAAGAGGAAAAGGTTTAAAGGGAAAAGAGACTGTTAAAACCAAAATAAAAAGGCAAGGAAAATCTGAATGAAGGAAGAAATAGAAGAAAAAAGAATATAGGTGGAAATAGAGAAGTAACAATGATTAAAACATACTGAAGTTTTACCATTTTCCAGGTATTATAAATGCTTTTCACAAATTACACTGTGTAATCCTCATAATGTGAGGCATGTTCTCCTATTTTTCCCACTTGACAGAAAAGGAAAATGTTAATCTTAAACCATGTACCAACTTTCCGGTTGAAATTGTGCAGGATAAGTTAAATTGCATTCTCTTAACCAGTATGAGTGTATTTCCATAAGCATAGTTGTGTTGAGATAAAGCTGTGAAAAGCAGAAAAGGAAAATGTTGTTTAGAGAGATACACTGATATGTCTAAGGTCATAGAACTAGTGATGGAAAACCAGGGATTTAAATCCATGTCTTGCTTACCTCCTAGCATGTACTTACTTCACCTTATGCTCAAAAGACAATTCTGTGTGATTGGCTCAGATCAGCAGATTAAATGCATAATGTGTGCTGTTAGCCTTGGAGCTGGAGTCAAAGGCTATGTGAGATTGCCATACTCTGTCCTGGTGGAAGAGCGAGCCAGGAAACATGGAACGGACACCATGATGGGCCTGAGTACACACCCCGTGGACGTGTGCAGAATGGCATCTTACTCTAGTTTGTAGAAAGCCAGAGAGGGTTTTGCAGTAGGAGTGGCCCTTGAGCTCAGTCTTGAAAGATTCAGAGGAATTACCAGAGACACCAAGAGATGACATTGAATAAATCCAAATTACTATTCTTGAAAATGTCGGAGCTTTGAGGAGATTCAAAGTTTCATGTTGCTCAAACCTGAAGGAGCTACAGCAATCTGTCAAGTGTTTCCTCTCTGTTCATTCTTTCTGTGATGACTTAAGCTTTCATTACATAATATTTTAATGACAAAAGAATAGTGTATTAAATAAGTGACTTAGCATCACTTCATAGCGATTCTAAATACTTTACATTACACTGTAATGTGCTTATCTGTCTTTATCCATGGACCCAGAACAAGTACATAATAGGTATAAGATATTCTTTGTTGCAAGAATAGACGAAAGTTGGAAGAACTTTGAAAAAAAGAAATTCTCACTTTTCAGTAATATACATAAAGTTCTTTTTAAAAATTAACCCCTGACATGCTATATTTAAAGCCCTTACTTTTCTTTCTTTTCTTTTTTGAAACAGGGTCTTGCTATGTATTTGAGACTCACCTGAAACTCACTATGTAGCCCAGTATGGTCTCGAACTCACAGCGATCCTCCTGCCTCAGCCTTCTGAGTGCTGAGATTACAGATGTGTGCCACCATGCCCGTAAAGCCCTTACTTTCAACAATCATTTCCTCCCTTTAAAAGGTTTTCATTTTGACTCCTTAAGTAGGAATTCTTGGCCTGATATGGGCAACTGGGTGAGGCTCAAATTTTCAATTTCTTCCCTGAGAAAAATGCAACATACACCATAAAGTTAGTAAATGTCCACATATGGAACCATATCTATTCCTTAAATCATCTTTTGATGAGAAGTAATTTTTTTAAATTTTTGTTTTGGTACCAGGGATCGAACTCAGGTCCTTGAGCTTGGGAGGCAGGCAGTGGGCCTACTGACCTAAATCTCTGGCCTGAGAAGTAGTTTAGATAATGATAAAACCATAGGTTAGCCAACTGTAGTGACACAGGCTTTAATCTCAGTCTGAGAAAGGAGGATCACCATGAGTTCCAGGCCAGCCTAGGCTACATAAGTGAGTTCAAGATCAATCTGAACAAGATAGCAAGATTCTATCTCAATATAAAATAAAAATAAGCAAATGAAAAAACCCACAAATATGCAAGCAAAACACATCATAGTTTGTGCCATTACAAACATAGATATATAATGTATACAGTGGTTTATGTCTCTTGGCAAATGTTCAAGACAGACAAGAGCCTTTCCTTTCCTGAACATACCTGTGTGCCACCTATCTTGTTTGTTTGTTTGTTTTGCAGCAGTGGAGATTGAAATCAGGGCTTTTCAAATGCTAAGCAAGCACTCAACCACATGGCTGCGCCCCAGCCTATATCTACCTTGTTCTCTAGCAAATAATGCCAAGTCAACAGCAACTCCTGGACTTCCAATCAAAGGCTCGAGTATTATGGGTTGACTTGAAGGGTACAGTGTGTATGGCCTGAGGGAAAAAGTGCAGTTCAACTCAGATGTTTGTACCATGTCATAGGGAAAAGTATCACGAGTTTCTGGAATGCAAAAGACTGATAAGCTTCCTGTAAATTGTCAGGTTTACATTTATTGCAATGAAGAAATTTGGCAGACAATTGCTCAATCTTTGTCCAAAGAGAAGGGGAAAAATGTGTTTTGGGCAACAGTTCTACTTCCTTCCTCCTTAGCTCTGATGAAGAAAGAAAAAAGAAAAAAAAAAACACTCAAACCAAGAGGGCAAAAATATTCCTAGTTACAAAAAACAACTCTAAAATTTTTTTAGTCCTGGGAGTCGTGTAGGCAGAAAAAGTGGAGTTCCTGGTCACTGATTAATAACTTTTTAAAAAGTTTGGTTAATACATAAGATATTAACCTGAGTTCTAATCCCTCTACCCAGCTGCCTAACAAGACCATAGGAAAATTATTTGCCCACTTAGTTTCCTCAGAAACTGTGGAAATTTGATCTGGAACGCTGCTGAGTGGTAAGCAAAATCATTAATACATATGAATTGGCTGACGACATATGTAAGAAGGACTCTGCCAGGATAGCAAGGACTTATCTGTTCTGGGAAATGAGTCACTCACTGCCCAGGTGAGTCAGTAAGGAGTTAGTCAGGTGACCTTTAACCACGGATCTTTTCTTGGTGTAAATGTAAGTATAACTGATTAGTTCCATGCACCTGTCCTCAAATGCCTCTTCCGCCCAGGCACGTCTTTGGATTGCTATGGATCCTCTCCTTTGGGTGTAGGATTGTAACAAAACTTTGATATTTGCTCGTAACTGAATTTGGGGGGCAGTGGGTGCTGAAAATGAAATCCAGTGCCTCACACATGCTAATCATGTGCTCTATCACTGAGCTGCACCCTGGCCCTTGAATTGGTCTAAAAGGATTCTTTAGCAATAAAGAGAAAGTAAATCAAAAAGTCAAGGATGTGGACCCAGTTACGTTGGTGTGGAAATGGGATAATAAGTCCTTGTCTCACAGGTTATCTTGAAAATGAAATGTATGGAACTGTTATAGAAAGACCTGTTGGGCCTGTAGGACCACTGCCCTCCACTCACCTGAACCTGGGCAACGCCCCAGGGCTCCTTGACCTTTGTGCTAAGGTCTGTTACTAGCAGGCAGAGATAAGAAAGACAAGACCCCTGGGCCCACCTAGGGAGATTTCAAAGTGGAAAAACAAGACCTATGAGTCCCAGCTTCTGGAGAGTGACCTGTCGTATCAGAGTTCACTAGAGTAACAGATTTAATGTACTATTTTTATTTATTCATCTCTTTTGTTTAGGAGGTATACTTACAACAGCCGCCTGCAGAGTTATGGGTGGAAAAGGGCCATCTGAATACTGGAGGCCCGAAGAATCCAGTCAAAGGTGAAAGACTCGAAGCTCACTGCCCAGTCCTGTTGCAGTCTGTATCAGGTACCTGAAGGGTTGTTGTTCTGAGGCTGAAGAATCCGCGTTACGAGGATGTAACATCCAAGGTGGAGTGAAGAGTGGAGCTCCTCCAAAGAAGTTGAAGCAAGAGCTCCTTCTTTCCCTTTTTATTCCATTCAGGCTACAGACCTATTGGCTGGTGCCACCTCGCCCCAGGGTGGGCCTTCCCTCTTCAGTAAGTCCTCCCCTGAGGCACACCCAGGACTATGCCCAGCCAGGCAGCTGGGTGTTTCTTATTCACAACAATGAGCTATCATACCTGTAGCAATTTTTCTTTACTCGGAGCTCATTAAAGGTTCATGCATGGACTGGGGATGCAGCTCAGTGGCATGGTACCTGCTTGCAAGTGCAGGGTCCTGAGTTTGATCCCCAGTACCAAAAATAAATTAAAAATAAATAAATAAATAGATGAATAAAAGGTCACGCATATGGACTGCATCTCATACATGTGATTATGACACAGTGAATTATGGGAAGGGACAGGCACCACAGACGCAGATGACCCGACTCAGCATCCTCAGTCACGCTGGCCAGTGGGAGGCACCCTGCACCAGGTGCAACATTTTAAATTCTTAACCCCAACACAGTTAGCATTAATGCCATTTCCCGTTCAACCAGCGCAAGCCCATACCCTCTGAGTAGGCCATCCCCTAAAAACTTAATTCAATTTTACTGCCTTTCTCCTTATCATCACGTGCAATTCTTTATTGCAATTATTTGTTTCCTTACTGTCACACACAGTAATTTAGAAACCTGTCCGCACTGCATCACCTAGGGCAAAAGAGCTGAGTCTGATGCTGGAATCACTACACGTTAGCTGTAACTTCTAGGTGTAAATTGGGGAGACTGGACACAACGTTCTCTTTGGCCTCTGCCAGTTCTCAGTTTGTGGGAACCCTAGGAATAGCACCTTAAAAGTACTTTAGGTCAAATCTATGAGGATTTAACTAGAAAAGCGACTTAAGAGTTAGACTTACTGGTCAATGACAGAGAACACAAAATGACAGTGGGGTAAGATAAGGTTTTCTTTCTTTCCTCCTCCTCCTCCATCTTTGTATATTTTTTTTCACTATATAGTCCAGACTGGCCTTGACTTCCCTAGGAGCCCAGGCTGGCCTTGAATTCATAATCCTCCTGTCTCAGCTTCCCAAGTGCCAGGATGACAGGCACATTCCACCACGCTGGGCTAAAGCAATGTTTTCTTTCTGTCATGACCTATCATTATATAACAAATAACCCTAAAACTTAGTTGCACAAGGGAGCAACATTTACTGTTTCTTAGTTTATGTGGTTCAGGAATCTTGCAGTGGTTTGGCTGGGTGGTTCTAGCTTAGGGCCTCTCAGGAGGCTGCACTCACTTAACCAAGTCTAGGAGTAGGGTTCATTTTTAAATTCAGACAGTGGCATTTGTTTCAAGGAAGTAAAATGGAGTAAAGGAGGAAGATAGCCGAAGAATTCAAGCAGACTATCTCCTAAGAAAGTTAGCAAATGATACTTCCGTTTTTGTCCCATCGTTTAGAATTTATATAGCATAGCTTACCTGTTGCAAGGAAAAGTGGAACGCGTGACCACATGTCAGCTCTGAATGGCAATTTACCGAGCCAAAAAACAGGTGATCCACTGCTACAGAAGAAGGGAAAAACTGATAAACAGGGGCGAACAGAGGTCTCACGCAAAGGACTCATTTGAACAAATATTATAGAACTGGTTTAAAAAGGTCGGTGTATAGGATCTGGGGACTTAGCTCAGTGGTTCTACCGCCTGCCTCGCAAGCACAAGGACCCAAGTTGGGTTCCCAGTACCAAAACAATAAAAGAAAAGAAAAGAAAAGGGTAGGCATATAGCTCTCATAATCCAAATGGCCAAATGTTACCGTAAATTCATTTGTTTTGCCTTTTCATGTGGGAAAAAATGTCAAATGTGCTATACAGCCAGGCTAACATTTTAGACAAACTTGACTGACTTTTAATATGAACTGTTACAATGCACATTGATCAGATATAAAAACCTTATATATACTGCATGTACTCAATGCTACCAGCCTCTTCCCCACCTGGGCACACCAACTGCCCATGCCCCAGGACCACCTCTGTTCTGCACCAGTAGCCAGAGTCACCCCCAAACCCACCTGATCCTCATCCCTCATCCATGGAAGAAGAGGTCAAAGCTGGGTGGGGTGTCATCTCAGCTGCACACCTATCATCCCATCCTTCTGGGAGGCTGAGGCAGGAGGGTCTTAAATTCCAGCCCAACCTGGGTAACCTAGCGACTTGAGTGAGAACCTGTCTCAAAATAAAAACTACAGAAAAGAGCTGGGGATGGAGCTCAGTGTGAAGGCCCTGGGTTCGATCCCTAGTACTGAAGGAGGAAAGAGAGTCCAGCCAGGACCAGCAGGGTGGGGGCAGTACCCCAGGGATTTCCTTCTCCCTTTCCCAAGTAAAGATGAGGGTATGAAAGAAAGAAAGAAAGAAACCTTATGACAAATTAAATGTAAGAAAAAGGAAAAAAGAAAAGCTTAATTTGGATAATTCAAGTGAGACACTCTTCACAATTTCCAACCTAAAATATTGAAATCCTTTTCCTCGATAGTATTATGGAGGGAGTTAAAATTGTATCGGTCCATTATCTTTATGTAATATAAGATTTCTAGGTAGCTGACATTGCAGAAAGAAAATTTTTTGTAAAGGTGTTCTTTTTATAGACAAAAAACAGAACAGTGAACAAGTTTCTGGCTTAGCAACATAATCCCCAGAAAAATCATAAGTACACACAATGATTACTACTAGATCTTTTGTCAGAATAATGCTTCAGTAGCTGAATAATTGATCCGTAAAAGAAAAATAGTAGGTCACTGTCATGTCTTGTGTCTAGCTGTCCCCTCAAAGCCTCACACAGTCAGTGGGGCTTTTTGGAGGTGGGAGGAGCTAGAGTGTGTGAGGCTGGGATTAAGAATGTGATGCTGGGATTGATTAATGATGTGATGTTAGGATTCAGGATGCCTTGGGTGTGAGTGCTGCCCACCTGAAGGGTAGGTAGCTGGAGAGAATATAAGGGAAAGAAAGAGGGGGCTGCTTTTGCTTGCTGTTTACTGCTTGCGGCTTCTCTACTTCGCAGCTTTGTTGCCTTCTGCCTGCCATGAACCGTTCTTCCTCTGTGATGCCCTCTGCCATACCACCCTGCCGCGGAGCCAGCCAACTATGAACTGAAACCTCCACAAACTGTGAGCTACAATAAACTTTCTTCCTTTAACTTTGGGTGTCAAGTATTTTTGTCTCAGCAATAAGAAAAGTGACTAAGACAGTCATATTGACCTAGTCAGCAGGGGGAGCAATGAATAAGAGATGATTATGAAATATTTACCAAATGCAGATGTCTAATTTGCTATGGGATGGGCTGAATTAAAAGAAGCGTTATTAATCACAAAGAACTACAGGTTTGTACATGTTTAATCTTGCCAGTCTCCTGAACACTCCTAAGAAATGATATTTCTTCTTTTACATATATCATAATACGTGTAAGCTTTCTTTCCAAAAGTAAAGGTGTATTATGCAGTGATAAAAGTCATCAGGTATTAAAAGATTAACTAAATACTGGGCACCATGTTATCTCACAATCTTGTGAAAGAGAAGTAGGAACCAAAGTTGAGAGAGGCAGAAGGAAGATTTGAAGCCAGCACTCTCTCCTTGCACAACCATTACATTTACTTTATGTTAAAAACAAGTCTGACCATTTAATCTTGCTGGGCACCTCATCAAGGCAAAGGGGCACAAAGTGGAAAACAAGGACAGCAGAGCAAGAGCTAGAGTACACACTGTCTCAGGGTCCCTTAGCTACGTGCTTGTCCTCGGCAAAATTAACAACATCAGGTATGAAATAGTGAGTAACAGCTAATAAACGATGGGGCTGATAACACATCTGCAGCGAAACTTAAACCAGCCATTTCCAGGGCTGAATTAACCCAATCCTTCCAGGAACCGTCAAAGCACGGTCCTTGGAGAACTTGAATCGAATCACATCAGGTACTTTTAAAGATGTGATCACTAAGACTTATCCTTGGAAATCTGATTCAAAGCATTTGGAGCAAGGTTTAGGATTCTATATATGATTCCTATGCAACGCAGTGCGATAAACAATATGCCAGCTGCTAACCTCCGTTCCATAACTGAAACTTTTTCAAGCTTCATATAAGGTGCTTGCAGAGTTCGTGGGAGTCATGGTGTCCTTTCAAAACACAACAGGGTACAGTAAATACATTTGTCCCTTGGTACCCTTGGGGGACTGGTTCTAGGATACCTCCCTCCAACATCCCTTATATAAAATCACATTGTATTTGCATAGAACCTACACAGTCCTCCTGCATGTTTCAAGTCATCTCTAGATTACTTATAATATCTCACACGATGTAAATACCATCTAAATAGCTGCTGTATTGCATCTTTTAGGGAATAATGACAAGGAAGAAAGTGTACACACTGAATACACACACGATTTTTCCCTACAAAATAGTTTCATTTTTAATTTTTAAATTTTTTACTTATGTGCAGTACTGGGGATGAAACAGAAGGCCTTTGTACTGAGCTACACCCCATTCTTTTTTTTTTTTTTTTCTGGTACTAGATAGAGATTGTACTCAGGACCTTGCACTTGTGAGGCGGGTTCTGTAGCCGCTGAATCTGTTCTCTCTGCTGCTAGAGGAACAGAGATTATATAGCTAAAGAGTTTATAACAGTGCTTGGCATGTGATTTTTTTTAAGTGCTCACAAAAAAAAAGAAAGAGAAATCTGCTAATTTGCGTTATTATTCAACAAACTACCATGTGCCAGAAACTAGTTTATGTCCCAAACTGAATGCCACCTTTCCTTTGTCCTCTACATTTACCAAGCCTTCTGTTTTCTCACTGTCTTGTTTTTTGTTTGCTTTGTCTGGTTCCTTTTTTTTTTCTCAGCCAAGGTCTTACTGTGCTGCTCAGGCTGATCTTGAACTCCTGGACTCCAGCGTTCCTCCTCATTCAGCCTCCAGAGTAGCTGGGACACCTGGCCTCTCACTGACTGTCACTGCTGTTCATGTAGTTATCCTGGCTAGAATAATGGTAGCAAATGTATTTGAGTGTGAGGCAGTATTCTAAAGACGTTTTAGCATGAAACCATTTCTATTCAGAATGACTGCATTAAGGATAGGCGTTATTACAGTGTGATTTTATAGATGAAACAACTGAAATGGTGAAACTATACATCTTGGTCCGAGGCCATACCATTAATAAATAGCAAAGCCTC